CGCCTCTCAAAAAAGCCACCAACAAGCAAAAAGTCATCCCAGCTCTAATGCAGGTTCTCAGCAGACAAGAAGGGAGTTCACGAAGCGAGGTATTTCTGCCACAGTTGGCATCTGAAGGAAATGTAGCTGAAGGGAAGGAATAACTTCTAGTTGCCCTTAGAAAGTGATGGTGGCTGTACGGAGAAGAAATACGAAAACATAAATTAAAAATGTGAATTTAATTAATTAAAAATCGAAAGAGAGTCCTGAGTTAATTGAAAAGGCTGCAAAATAATCTGGAATGGACCGAGCTGAATAATAATGAACACGTACCTGTAAGCTGGCGTCCCAGCTACGCTGCTGTTTAATCTTTTTCAGGTTCCTAGAGCTTTTTGGAAATCAAAATGGGCGGATCGGTTTCAGGCAGCTTCCTGCCCTTGTTTAGCTGTAGCTTCAAGTTAATGTAAAACCTGAAATGAAGTGCGAACCTGACCCAAACCCTGTGAAACTGCAAGCATTTAATAACTGTCTCTTTGAGAAACAGAACAAATAACAGAATTAATGGAGAATATCCTTTTAAAACACAGAGAGTGACCTTCAACAGGTTGGGGAGCTATCGGCTGGCCTGCTCCTCCGCCCTTTGTAGTTTTAGAGGTGAGGCTGATAAATAGTTTTACATTTCATGAGCTTTAAAAATCATCTGGGAGCTGTGTGGGAGGAAATCCTGGGGCAGCAGTCATTGCACAGGAGCAGGACTGGCTTATGGTGTGGCGCTCAGCTGGTTTGGGAAGGCTGGGAGAGGGGAACTGGAGTATCTTCTGCTACATTCATTTTAATTAATCCCTGACTACATTTGTAAAGGTTCCTCCTGCTTTTACAGTGACTTTGCTGTTAGTGCTTTCCCAAAAGACCGAAGGAGACCGGGGCCATAGTGCTGCCCTCCTCTATTATCCGTGCGTACAGTAAATAATTCAGGAGGCAGAGCTGGCGGCAGAAAACGAGGACTCCGAGGTCCTGAGCCTTTCCCTGCAGTGGGCTGCGTGTTTCCATGGAGGGGGAGCGCCCGCCGAGGTCACCGGTTTGTCGGGAACGCCGCTGCCCCGGTGATCCCAGCCACGCTCTCTCCAGCGGGATGGCTTGGCCGGCTTTAATCTGCCCAAACGAGTTCCCAGTCCTGCCTGCTTTCAGATCAGGAGGCGGAGGTGCAGGTTGGGAGGATTTACCCGTGTAAGTACACATGCTGAAGTACATCAAGCCCAGATTTTTCCACACATTTGGAGGATTATTTTAGGAGAAACGCAGGTGCATACACCCACTTCTTTAGGGGAAAAAAAAAATAGGCCATGCTATTTGACATTTTAAATAATAAAAATAAAACTTGGAGAAGCAGTCGCTGAACTGCAGCTCAGCCTGAGCCTGACAGCTGCTTTTCGGGAATGGTGTGGGGCAGTCCGTGTAACCAAGTGGTTTCTCACTTGCTGGTCCTGTCGAAACAGTTCTTACAGGTCATTAATGGGTGAGGGAATCGTCAAAAAGAGTGTGATGCTACCGTTATTCATTCCCATTTGGGTGAAAAAAGCCCTGTTAACTTATCTTGAAGGCTGCCAAATGCCATTCCAAGTGCTCTGAAAGGAGTTTTATGTTTCCTTATCTGAAGACTGCTGTGATCTTTCCAGATTCATTAAATACATGGAAAGCAAATGGAGGAAAACGCCTTTATTTTTCAGAAAGAGGGTGGCAGGAAGGGAGTGCTTAGCAAGAAGCTGCACATACCTCGCATACGTAACACTTTCCCGTCTATCAGAAGATCCTCTCCCCGTCAGATAGCAGCAAGACATTCCTGGGGGTGGAGTGAGAGTGAATTTATCTTGGGAGGGAGCAGGATTTCGCTTTGCTAAGCTAGCTGGTTTGCTCAATGCAGGAATTTTCCATTCACCTCTATTCTCCACCAGCATGTAAATCCCAACAACTGTACTTAGGATTACTTACCTTTCATTAGTTAACAGTTTTCTGCGGCTCACCTGTCCTTCTGCTGGCTCTCCTCTGTCATCCTGACTGCTCGGTTGAACCGCTTCTCCAAAAATTCCAGCTTTGGAGGTACGCCTTCAAAAACCACGGCGTGGAGGGGACTGTGTTCCTGTTCCTTGAGGAGGGCGGCTGCAAGGTAGACCTGGCGTTATACAGAGAAGCACTGTTTGCTTTAAAGAAGTAGGAAGCTGAGCTACATGGGTTTTATTGTCTTTTGATAGATTATTCATCACCCTGGCGCTCGGAAACCCTGGCTGAGGGGAAGGCTCTGGATGGAAATGCTGGGAGGAGTTTTAGTGTGGCCTGGGGAGGTGGTGAAGGGCATCGCTCCCCTCGCCTTTTCCTTTCCAGTTCCTCTGGTGCGAGCGTGTTACGACTGTGTCTGGGTGGATATATTCCTGTCAGTCACTGGAATTCGAAAGATTTACTTTAACTGGCTCGATCCTTATAATTTCGTGTGCTGGTTCAGCACAGACTGTTCACACGGATGTAAAATGCAGGTTCATAAGGATTTGTGAGCAGCTCAGCTCCATCAGCCAGAAATCGCTGCTGAAAAACATCCTTTTTAAAGTAAAGATAGGCATTAGGCAACGTCAAAAATCAGTTGTTAGTTCTTGTGATTGCTAGTTAGAACATGCCAAAATTACAAGTGCTCCGTGAAGAATAGGTACAAGAAGGATTATTCGGCCGATAATATAATAGTAACATGTAGATTGAGTGCTGTAACCTTTCTGTTTAAGATGAAAAAAAAAAAAGGGGGAATATACGTTCTGGTCCATAATAGAAATGCCTGTTGGTGAAATCAGAGGAGGGATTCGAGTAGCTGCAGCTGCAGAGCACGTCTGATAATTTACATTCTCCACCTCCTGCCCTTCTTGCAGAATTAAATTGGTCCCTCATTAACATGGGAATGTTTGTTGTTCCACCGCCCGCTCTCTCCCCTGCGCCTACATGACTATTCCAATGTCACGTCAGTCCCTGTCGGGTGCCAGCGGGGCGGGGGGGGCTTGTGGGAAGGGACTTTCTTTACCTCTTACAACAGGTGCCTTTGTCAGCACACCTCGGAGGCAGCGAGGAGGAGCGACTCTTAGCCTTACGCTTGGAACTTTGGCTACAGGAGAAAAATAAACCCAGCCCACGAGGCAGTGCAAGCGAAGAGGAAACGGTCATTCCAAGCGCTGCGGAAAACCTGAGCAGGATTTAGCGTAGCAGGTACGATTTTTGTATGGGTGACGCAGAGAGCGATCTCGTCAGCCGGATGTCGCTTCGGGAGCGGAATCGAAAGTATTTCTACCCTGGGAATTAATTGGAAAAAAATTTGCAAGCCTTGGAAGAAAAATTAAAAAAAATGCACTCAAGGAAAAAATACCTTTCTTCCTCCTGCAAGGGTTAAGCATGATCAGAATCTACTTTCGTCTCCAGGATTTAACCTCAAGTGCTGCATTTTTTGTTTGCCATAAGCCTCTTAGAACTCTCTCTGTTTCCTAGCAATAACGTGTAATTTGCCCCCCCCATTTAAGTGGAAGAGATGTTGGGGTTTTAATCCTGGACGCTACAGCTGTTGCTCAAGTTTCCTATTCAAATGCAAAAAGCACCTGGTGCTGTTTTGATACCCGTGTAATCTTTGATAAAGATACTGCAGGAGCACAGGAAAAAGAGAAAAGCAAGGTGGGTCTGACCCTGTTTATTCTGGAAAGCGAGAGCAGAACCATATGCTACCGGCAACCTGAACTGGAAATTTCTACCAAATTTGGTGCATCCAGCACATACTTTTTTTTGGAGACAAATGCGTGGCTGAAGTGATTTAGGTTTCTTCAGCAGGTATGATGTTTCACCAGGAAGAACAAAAGGCTTCCAGAGAAGATAAAAATGTAGTGCATGAGTCTAAGCAGAGGTGCTGATTTGGTGAGGAGTTTTACCTTGCCTGTGTGTCCTGAAAAGAGTTTCTTTTGGGGACGTTTTGTTTGTTTCTTCAAATCACTTATAATTTTCTAGATTTTCATTTGTCATTTTGAGAATATTGATTTTTTCTGAATTTTTTCCTTGCGCTGTTTTTTCTCTGTGTCAGATAGATGTTACAATAAATGAATTCGAAAGTCAGGAGCAATTTTGGAAGGCAGCTATGCTGTTCAGGGCTCATAGACAAGAGATACCATATCACTTCTTGATTAAAAGCAAACCAGTCTCAGATTCAGGTTAAAAACCTTCTACTGTGGAAAGTTTCAGTTGTATAAATTGGGTTTATTTCACTTGTGGAGGTGCAAGTTTATTCAAGGAAGAGCTTACAGCCTTCATTGTGTTTTGCCTGGCTGTTTTACCCTGTATTACGAACGGAAACCAAAGGACTAATTTTGGAGGGTTGTCCAGATTTCTGTAAAAGCGAAAGCGAGTGTTTTTAGAGATTTTAAAGCAGAGCTTTAGAAACCTGTGGAAAATTCTGAGGAACGTCTGAAAGAAATCACCAGTACACTGGTCTCTGTGAATTTACACGTAAGCCAGAAGAAGCAATTCATTGGAAAATGAGACTCTGCTAACAAGAACATCAGCTTTCGTGGGAGAAAACTGGGTATAAAGAATAAATGATTGCTACAAAGTTCAAGAAGAACAGAAGTGATTCCAGTCCTGCTGTCAAGCACTGACGGATCTTTTCTTGCTTAATACTAATCTGGTTTGGCTACTGCTTTTTCATCTTCAGCCTCGTCCCGGAATTAAAACAGGTTCCCTGGCTTTCACCAAACTTCAGCAAATACCTTTTGCAAGCTGGGTGTTGGGAGCGTGAGCAGGTGTTGCGTATGTGCTTCCCGTGACAGTAAGAGGCACCTTGGAGAGGAAAACCCACACGGGAGCTGATTTGCTGGGTCGTGTTTTCTCTCGTGACACTCCTTCCTCATTAGCTTCTTCAGGTGGGTGTGAGCAACCGACACGGAACTGAGCCAAGGTTCAGCCTTGGATTGTCAACCCGCTCTGGCCGCTAACGGCAGCTTGCCGGCAAAATGATGGAAGAAATCTCCATAACGGTGGCTTACGATGCCCATGTTTTTAGCCAGCTGTACGATGAAGACTTTCTGGCCAATCTGGTGGCCGTCAGCAAACCCAAATCTGTGGTAGGTGTTTCTCTTGCTCCTTTGCCAATAATGCTTAAGGTTATAGTTTGTCCAGTAGTTAAGTCCTTCTGCTGAAAGCTATTTATTATTTAGTTCTCTTTTTATTACTTTTTCAGAAATTCTGTGTCATACCTCAAAAAAATTAAGATAATTGATTTCAGAAGAGATAAGATAATTAAAATAATATCTTTCTGGGCTACTAAGTTTAGAAGAAGGTGATTTGCTCAGTAGGACAATAATAATATTGAAATAATAATTAAACCAGCAAATGACTGAATTTATCTAAGTGTGAAATCAGCACTAAATGGTGTAAACACTTTCTGTGTCTTAGCATGTCAGCATCAGGCCGGATGCTCAGTGCACGCCAAGGATCGGGACTGTAGGCCAGCATCATCCCTAAATCTAAGAGAACCTGTCCCTGGCGTGGGAATGGTGACGTAACACTTTTATATGTTCTTTTGAAATCAGCATAAATATCCATAAAAACTTTTTAGTTAAACGACCACTCCCTTTTTTCATCAATAGGGGCTGTCTTTATGTAAATGGCGTGTGTAGTGTGGTCATCTTCCTCCCTCACGGACATTCCAGCACTCGTAGGGAGCTACGCTGAAGGCACGAGTTTTGAACCTGAAGTTTGGTGCCAGAGTTCGTCTTTGGTCTCAAATTCTACAGATGAGCCCAAGCGTGAGCCGATCTGCCTCGAGTCGATCACAAGAAATCTGTGAAAAATAAAAGTGCACGCGTAGCTGTTGAGCTTAACTCAAAAGCAGATGCAGTTAAAATTTCAGTCTGAGTACAAATGAGGCTAATTATTTAGCAATCCAATTAAGCACTTGTGTTAGCAGGTTTTGGTCTGTCTATGTGTTTGTATCCAGGTGGTTCACTGAGCTGTGACAAAGGCAGGTGTGCTCAGAAGAGGAAAAATTTGCTTTATTGCGACGTTGTGTAAAACCTCTCTAAGCCTATTTCCTGCTTGGCTTTTTCTGCCTGTCCGTGCTCTGGAAATCTCGGGTGCATCAAGTCCTCTCCTGTATCTCCCACAGACCTCCAGATCTCAACCAGAGTTCTGCCCAGTCTCTCTTATTATCATGACTTTTTCCTGTCTCTGGCCTCCTCTAGGCTAGAATTTACAAGGTCTCTTAGAATAATTAGCTAATAAATATGGAAATCTAGTATGGACAAAACTGTGTACTTTAATATGACTGGGATAGAGATTGGACTCCAAAGAGGCTTTAACTCAACCAGCTTATTAGGAGCTGCCCACTTTTTCTAGGCTGGATATTTTTAAATATGTAGTATACCTTGATTCATTGTCCAGCCACCGCCTTTCCTCTTTTTCTGCCTTAGCTGATTGCTGTGGCAGCAGTTTTTGTTCTGACTTACAAGCCCAGAGTAGTATCTAGAGCCAGTACTGCTGTTGTTGAAATTAAAGTCGTAGAGTCACAGAATGGTTTGTGCTGGAAGGGACTTCAAAGACCATCTAGTTCCAACCCCCCTGCCATGGGCAGGGACACCTTCCACTACACCAGGTTGCTCAAAGCCTCGTGGATGGCTTACCTATAATTTAAATCTTTGGGAAGCGCTGCTTAAATGGGCTCGGTGATGGCGTCTTCCGTTTTGTATGGCTTCAGCGCTAAAGTAACGGACATCGCGTTACACATCTCTAGATTCCTCCAGATCAGCTGCGAGTTACTGGAGGAGACAGTAACTGGTGTCAAGAGCAGCACCTTACAGCTCCACCTGATTTTTGCCACTCCGAAAATATGATGAAATAACATTAAAAAAAATAAAATATTTCTCTATGGAGTAACTGCTTACCTCCTAGTAAACAGAGATATTTAAGTGGAACAACCGTGGGAGGGAACAGTATCATTATTACTATTATTTATAAGATCCGAATGACAGACTTTAGTGGAAGCACGTGTTCTTATCAACTCTTTTTTTCTCCTGAATCAGACTATTAACATGTTTTAGTGCATTATGTGCTAGTAAATAAGGTAAGAAATGTGGGATTTGCAGGGCTTACGTAGGAAATACTTAACTACTCTGTTAAATGATTTGGAAGTGTTTTAACTAAGCGAATAATGGTGCAAACAACCTGAGGAGGTTTAAGATGAAGCTCGACAGGATTATCATAGGATTAGACAGTGCGTGGGAGCCTGCGCTACTGAGGGACGGGACCTGGTGACTCAGAAAGTTTCTTTCAGTTCACTGCTGCTGTGTTTAATGGTGGGACAAGCTGCCAGTTGGGATAAGTTGGGGCAAATCCTGTTGACTCCGTCCTGGTCATTTTACCAGATAGCACAAAGGTACGTACTGTACCTGAAGTAACGTTCTGCAGAAAGAATTTGCAGAGTTTTCATTTATTCTGAGAGTTCGTGTTACTGTTCTGAGAGCTCCTGTTCCTGACACAGGTGTTTTTGCAACCTGGGATTCATCTGTTTGTTTGCAAAATCCGAGTTTCGTTTATTTTTAAACGAGTTTCTAGTCTGCTCCTCTAGTTGCAGAGAAAAGTTTTAAAAAAAAAAAAGTTCTTTAAAGGCTTTCATCCTGTTGGGTGGTTTGGATGCCAGGATGGCTTTGTTGTAGTTCCAGAAATCTTGTGGCCAGTAACTCCTTGTAGTTCATCTGGATTGTGCAATAGGTCAGGGCATGCAGGAATCTCAGAGAGGAGAGAGCCACGTGTTAACAGCGCGGAGCAGCGAAGGGTTAGTACCGGAACCAAACCAGGGCTGGATGGTCGCTCTCGTGGGTTGCTTATGCTTGAGCCCAACCTTCTGACACGTCCAGTGCCGCGTAATTTTGCGAGGAGAATCAGAATTATCTGCTGTTTCTCAGATCCCATCAGTTCTAGTCGTATTTTTCAATGGAAAATGTGAATTTTTCGGTGGAAAGTGTGGCAATGTTTTTGTAGCGTTGCTTTGATGCACGTAAATACCAGACAATTAAACAGGATGTAGATGATCTAAGATAAGGTTTTGTTAAATATGCTCCAAAACAACACCGTATGATAGCAATCCTCCAACATGTATTTTAGTAAAATTAGTCATATTGCAGTGTGACCATGACACGCGGTTGTTTTGCTGAGTGCTCTTGCTTTCAAGATTTCAAGTTTTTCTGAAACTACTTCACTCAGACATGCAAAGCAGGCTATAAATGTGGACTGCTGGGTAGTTTCACAGAATCACAGAATGGTTTGGGTTGGAAGGGACCTCAAAGATCATCTAGTTGCAACCCCCCTGCCATGGGCAGGGGCACCCTCCACTACACCAGGTTGCTCAAAGCCTCATCCAACCTGGCCTTGAACACTTCCAGGGATGGGGCAGCCACAACTTCTCTGGATTTGTGCAAGAATTGAGTAGCTTTACTCTAGGGAATTTCAATTCTCAGCTTCTCTGCAGAAAACTTGGACCCAAGGGGTTATGAAAATAGTATACTAAATGGTATAATCCTCTTAATCTAGAGTTGAAGGACATTCTTCTGGAAAGCTTTGTTGTATTTGCATTTGCCTGCCTGCCTTGTTGTGTTTAGCTCCGTGTTCAGGGGAATTATCAGCCATTTCATAGAAATCATTTATAGTTCTGCACCAACAGACTCTGCCATAATGATTTCTAGGCTCTCCGTTTCCCATCAAAGCCAAACTGAGGAGATTCAGAGCGGCTGGGTGGATTCCAAAGGGGGTGAAAAACAGTGGCCTGGCTGGAGCACAGGGAGTAGCGGTCAGTGAGTTGGGGGCTGATACTGTTTAACATCTTTAGGATGCACCCTGCTTTTCAGATGGCAAAAACTTGGTCATCAGGTCATAAAAACTTGAGAGTGGGTGGTGGACACGTGGGAAGGCAGGTGTGCTGTTCAGAGGAACCTTAGCAAGGGTGGGCTGAGAGAGACCTCCTGAGGTTCGGCAAAAGCAAACACAAAGCTCTGGGCTCCTCCCTGGCTGGGAATAACTCCAGCATCTGTGTAGGGTGGGGACTAAATGTGTGGATAGCATCAAGGGTGATGATACGAGTGCCCCAGCAGCAACGAAGGCTACCGTGCGCGAGGCGGCATTACCAAGAGCACGGGTACCCCAGCATGTCAGGTGAGACAGATATTGACCAACCTCCTGCTGAGGCTGCATCTCCCACACTGATTCCTATTTTGAGCCTCCACAGAGAAAAGGGATATTCCCAACCTAGAGCGAGCCCAGTGGAAGGCCCCTGGGAAGGCAGGGGGCCGACCGCACGAGGGAAGGATGGGAGAGTTGGGGCAGCTTAGCCTGGAGAAAGTTCATGAGGGATCTAATTGCAGCCTGCTGCCACCTGAAAGAAGGTCCTAGAGAGGATGGAGCCAAACTCTTCTCAGAGGCATGCACTGACAAGACAAGGAGAAATGGTCATGATTTGCAGCAAAGCAGTTATGCCCAGGGAGGCCCTGGCATCTCCATTCTTGGAGACTTTCATGAGCAGCACACTCTGACTTTGAAGCTCTCCCTGCCTCAGCAGGAGGTTGGTCAATATGCCCACTGGAGAGCCCTTCCAATCTAATTTTTTCCATGAGTTTCTAATTCTGCTTCGTGTGGAGTCTTGCAGTGAGGAGGAACTGGCAGCATTTGGGCTTTTGAAGACCATCTTTCCCTGGGTGGCGTTACCACTGGCGTGCTGCTGCTGTTGCTACTCCCAAAGGAGGAATAAGGGAGTTTTGGGTGGTCGCTGTTACAAGAACTGGCTCTTCCCAGGAGGCACAACCCTGTCTGCTCCCTTCCCTTCCCAACAGAAGGAGGGATCCTGCTCTCGGGATGTCTCTAGAAGCTGTCTTGGGACAAGAGCAGCCAGATTCTGCCCTGATCCTCTCACCTTGTCTTTGGAACAGCAAGAATTTTCTTGTATGTGTCCGTAACAAATGAAATAACAGAGTCTATTTGTTAAACAGGTGATCCAAAAAAACAAAAGCTCTACTAGTTCTTGTCTTTCCCTTCCTTTGGTTGCTCAAGCCTCTTCGCTTTTGTGATGTCAGGACCC